TAAGAGTTGGACAGGAAATTCTAGCCCTCTGGCTGGTGTGTTTCTCTCTCTCTGTGTGTACGTGTGGGTGGGCGGAGTGGTGCCCGCCAGATACAGGGAGTCCAAGCTGGATAAGAACTCTCGCATAGGGCTGTTCTCCGCAGCGGCTTAGCCATTTATAGTTTGATGCTTGGAACTCCCCCCGGGGGTGGGGAGGGGGTGGGGGCTTCTGCACAGTTCCTTCTGATGGACTCCATCATCCTGCAAGAGCAGTTAGTGGAAAAGCTGCTGTTACCTCGCACTCAAACTCACCGGAGTCCTTCTGCCAAACTGAAGGTACCAGGATGTCTTCTGCAGAGTGAGGACCAAACTGAAAAGGAGTAGGTGGGTGGGTGGGTGGGCAGAGGAGGGGGAAGAGAGAAGGGCAGCCCAGGAGAAGCATCCTCTTCCCACCTCAGACCCTTCCAAAGTGCAAGGGAAGAAAAGGTTCGGGACAAAAATGAGGGGCCCTTGGGGCTCTCTTAGCTTGGTGGTTTTCTTGCAGACGTTTCATGACCCAACGGAAGAACAACAAAGGTGATTGGGAGGCTGGAGGCTAAAACATATAAAGAAGGGTTGCTGGAATTGGGTTTATATCTAGTTTGATGAAAAGAAGGACTAGGGGAGGCATGATAGCAGTCTTCCAAGGTCTCAGAGGCTGCCCCAAAGAAGAGGGAGTCAAGCTATTCTTCAAAGCACCTGAAAGGCAGGACCAGAAGCAACGGATGGAAACCGATCAAGGAGAGAAGCAACTTAGAACTAAGGAGGAATTTCCTGAGAGTGAGAACAATTAATCAGTGGAACAACTTGCCTCCAGAAGTTGCGGATGCTCCATCACAGGAGGCTTTTAAAAAAAATGTTGGATAACCATTTGTCTGAAGTGGTGTAGGGTTTCCTGCCTAGGCAGGGGGTTGGACTAGAAGACCTCCAAGGTCCCTTCCAACTCTTGTTATTCTATTTCTAACTAAGTAACCTCATCAGTGCTAGAAGGGAGTGAAGTTTGCGGAGAGGAGGAAGAGGAGGTGGAAGTACTGTGGGGTCCTTGGTGTTCTCTGAACTTGGTAATTTTCTTGCAGATGTTTCATGACCCAAACTAGCTAATATCATCAGTGCTAGATCATCATTTATGATGTTGTCTAGTTTCGGTCAAGAAAGGGTCTACCAGAAGGCAACCAAGCTCAGGGTGCACCAAGGACGCCTTATTTCAACTCTGAACTATGAATATACTCCTTTATTAGGTCAAAAACTGCTGATGGTTAGAATTGGCAATAAGAGACAGTGATGGGTCAAGGTTATTTTGTGGTTTGCATTCATCGGTGGCTTTCTGTGGCTTTGGGAGGAACAAAAATTACTCACAAGGATTGATGGTTTGGGGAGATCTTCCAGGCTGCCCGAACAGAAGATTGAAGTGGATGTGGGTGAGGTGAGCAGATTTGTGCAAGGTAGAAATTAATCAGATAACAGATAGAGTTGGAAGGGACCTTGTAGGTCATCTAGTCCACACACACCCCACCCAAGCAGGAGACCCAACACCATTTCTGACAGATGGCAGTCCAATCTCTTCTTGAAAGCCTCCAGGGATGAAACTCCCACAATTTCCATGGGTTGATTGCTCTCACGGTCAAATAATTCCTCCTTATTTCCAGGTTAAATCTCTCCTTGTTCAGTTTCCATCCATTATTCCTTGTCTGGCCTACAGGCACTTTAGAACATAGCTTGACTCCTTCCTCCTCTCTGGGGCAGCTCCTCAAGGTAAATTGGCATTGCATCCTACGTTGGGGTTGTCCATGAGTTGCTTATGATCTAAAAGGTGAAGTTTGGGGTAAACTGGGAGCTGAAGTCCACCACATCTTAAAGTGGCTGAGGTTAAGAAACACCGTTTTGGAGGCTTGGGACTTGAGCACCCATAATTTTTAGCTAGGGTGGCCTTTGACGACGGGAATCAGACATATCAAGGGGGCACCAGATCGGCCAATGTCCATGTTGACATAAAATAAAATAAAAGCTGTTGATTTCTTTTGGAGGCCACTGTGTACCAGCCTTGAAGGCAAAATGTATCCGAAAAAAGCTGATTACATTGCCATGGTTTGCAAAACTCTGCTTTTCCCTATAGTGGGCTTTCCCGTTGATATTTTTCTGGCGCTCTGCCGGAAAATAATCTTTCTGCTTTTTTTTTTTTCCCCTGCTCTTCCTTTGAGAAGAAGCAATCGGGTCACGTTGCGTCTTTCTAATCGCGAAAGATTGCGTTCTGGAATGAGCTCCGTGGCCTAGATTTTTCTGCATTGTCCTAAGCATGCAACGAGGCTTTTTTCCCCCCCAATTTTGATTTGCATTGTTGTTGTGTAAATCCAGCTTTTGGAAGCCGGAGGGGGGGGGCGCGTTGTTTAAGACTGTTGTGTGTGAACGAGGGCATCAACCCAACGCTCACTTCCTTTTGAGCAAACGCACGCAAAAAAGGGAAATGGCAAGTAGAAACTCAGATCAACGTTTGCGAGAGAAAAAAATCTAAATTCTTTTTTATATACCTCGCCTGCACTGAAGTGATTCCAGGACAGGGGCAACTAACAAAATGAAGCCATTCTGGCTTTATTTGTTCTTGGTTCTTGTCCAGTAGGTTACTATACCCTTAACTAGGTTTTCAAGAAATTATGAAACCTCTGTTAGAGCCAGTTGCAAAATTACGGTATAACAGCTAGAAGGGACCTTGGAGGTCTTCTAGTCCAACCCCTGCTCAAGCAGGAGACCCTATACCAGGGGTGGGATTCAACCGGTGTTACAACTGCTTCGGTGAGGGTGCACCGGCTGCGTGTGCATGTGGAGAATTTGCGAAAAATTATCAGCTGTGCCACCCGGACAGCTGACAAGGGCTGCGCGCGGGTGTGCAGTGTTTGAAAATCCTCTTCTTTCCTGCTTTTTCAACCTCAACTGTGCCGTGCAAAGCAGCTGAGGTGGAAAAAAGCAGGAATTAAAGGCTAGCCAAGAGCCCGGACGGATGGATGGGCCAAACAGACGACCAGAAGGTCATTGCAGCAAATCATTTCGGTGTCAGCTGCTCTACGGAGCTACCAGTTCTATAGAACCAGGGCGGGAACAAGATGTAAAGAAACAGGACTTATTCAGAGATAATGGGTAAAAATATAACTGAAAAAGAGATTCTGCAAAGGTACATAAGATTGTATTGTTATACTTGTATTAGAAATAATGTTAGAAAATTGGAACAACATATGATTATAAAATGGGATAAAATACTCAGTGTAATCCAGTCTCTTCTTGAAAACCTCCAGTGATGGGGCTCCCACAACTTCTGGAGGTGAGCTGTTCCACTGATGAGTTGTCCGGTTATCCTTGAGTTAGTGGGAACTATGAATGGTGGGTCCAGAGCTTGTTTTCCAATGAAATAGACGTTTTGTTGGAATCTTCTTTTGGTTCCTGGGTTGATGGAAAGGACTAGCATACCCAAGTGCAAATTGTTTAGTGGCTTCCAGTCTCATTTTTTAAGGTTCATCTTCTTCAACCTGGTGGCTTTGAAGCTTGGTGAGCTTTAGCTGTCCTCATCCCAGCCAATACACGAATTGGAAACATGGAGGATGTTACCTAACATAGTTGGGGAAGGAAAGGAGCTGTCTCCTTAACTCTCTTTGGCTTCCAACTAGCATCTGATCACCGTCCAGTAGTGAGTTTCCCAATCTGGGCAGTTTCCAGATGTGAGGACTTCAACTCCCAGAATTCTCCAGCCACTGTGGCCATTACTGGGAGTTGAAGATACCTAGGATGGAAAATAGAAACCTAGTTTGGTCTAGTGGTTAAGGCACCAGGCTAGAAAGCAGGAGACTCTTTGATTTCTAGTTTCTCTTTAGCCATGAAAGCTGGCTGGGTGACTTTGGGCCAATCACCAGGAGGTGGTGAGTTCTAGTCCTGCCTTAACCATGAAATCCAGATGGGTGACTTTGGGCCAATCACCAGGAGACTGAGAGTTCTAATCCTGCCTTAACCATGAAATCCAGATGGGTGACTTTGGGCCAATCACCAGGAGACTGAGAGTTCTAGTCCTGCCTTAGACATGAAAGCTGACAGGGTGATTTTGGGCCAATCACCAGGAGACTGTGAGTTCTAGTCCTGCCTTAAGCCTGAAACCCATCTGGGTGACTTTGGGATCAGTCCTCCTTGTTCAGCCCAAACCACCTCACAGGATTGGGATTGTGAGAAAAAATAGCAGGAGGAAAGCATATTAGGTATGTTCGCTGCCTGGAGTGAATGATAAAGGCGGGGTACGAATTAATAAATAAATACTATTCTGGTGCCACTGACCAGCAATGTATCTCCAACTTTAGTGTCCTCTCCTTTCGACATTTGATCTGAAGGGCCTGCCTTTGTCTCTTGAGGGGGCTGTTATTCAATGGAGAGGCAAAATTAGGAGTACCCACTCTGCTCCAGCCTCAATTCTCTTTCCATGAATGGAGATCTTCTTGGCCAATGGGTCCAGAGGTGGTATTCAGCCGGTTCTGACCAGTTCTGGAGAACCAATAGCGGAAATTTTGAGTAGTTTTGGAGAGCAGGTAAATACCACCTCTGACTGGCCCCGCCAACCCCATCTCTTCTCTGCCTCCCATTGAGTCCCAATTGATTGGTTGGGTCTTCTTTGGTTGCCCTGCACAGGAGAATGGAGCTGGAAAGCAGGTTAGTGGGGTGGGGAGGGAAGGGGGATTTTGCAGTATATCCTTCCCCTGCCATGCCCACCAAGCCACGCCCACCAAACCACGCCCACAGAACCGGTAGTTAAAAAAAAAAAGAATCTCACCACTGAATGGGTTGTATCTCCCATAAGACCCAATCTAAGCTCCCAACTCAACTTGGGAGTAGCCAACCTCAAGAGTTGACGTGATTGTTGTGCAAACTAGAAGGTCTTTTTTTTTCCTTTCTCGTTCTCTCCTTTTTTTCTCTCTCTCCAGTCTGACCCATGGCTGCTTATCTCCCCTTCTCAGGACCACGAGAAGCAGTATGTGGGCTTTGCCACTCTGCCCAACCAGGTCCATCGGAAATCGGTGAAGAAGGGCTTCGATTTCACCCTCATGGTGGCAGGTGAATGAACCTCCCATTTAGGACCTTTTCTTAAAAAGTATGGGCGTGGCTCTACCGAGATGGGTTTTGAGCTTCCTGGCATAACAGTTCTGGGATGGACGAAGCATTCCGGCTTGGTAGATCTTCCAAGGTCATCCAAAATCAATTAGGAATGGTCAGCCAAGGTTCTTACTTGTGAATAGCTTGCATGTTAAATCTCATCCTGGCTAGAGGTGGACCAACTGTGGTTATCCAGGGGTAGATGCTGTTTAATCTCCTTCCTTCCTTCCTTCCTTCCTTCATCCCTCCCTCCCTACCATTCTCTTCCCTCCCTCCCTCCCTTCATTCTCTCCTCTCTTCTCTTCTCTTCTCTTCTCTTCTCTTCTCTTCTCTTCTCCTCTCTTCTCCTCTCTTCTCCTCTCTTCCCTTCCCTTCCCTTCCCTTCCCTTCCCTCTCTCCCTCCTTCCCACCATTCCCTCTTCCCTTCCCTTCCCTTATCTCCTCTCCTCTTCCCCTCCCTGAGAATGGAGATTAAAAACTAGACTGGAATATTGTCTCTCTCCAAGGACAGATTGTTCTAAATAAGAATATCAGGTACAGAGAGAAAGTGTCAGTTCTGCTATGGCATTTCTGAAGATTCAAGACTCGTTCCAAGTTTTTTTTGTTTTTGTTTAAAAGAATTGTTTGATTTTGTTGTTGTTCTTTTAGGAGAATCTGGTCTGGGCAAATCAACCTTGGTGAACAGCCTCTTTCTGACGGATCTCTACAAAGACCGAAAACTTCTCAACGCTGAGGGTACCCTTCTTCCTTAGTCCTTGCAATCAGCACAATTCCCCACCATGTAAATTGAAATTGAAACCTATATTGTCCTTGATTTTGATTGATTGATTGATTGACCTGCGCCATCAAGTCCTTGTTGACTGTTGTCAATCACACAGATTTTTCTCTATGAATATCCTGTCCATTCTTGGTAAAAGTACAGTAGTAACCTTAACCCTCGCCCACAGAGGAAATGGCAATAAAGAAAATATTAGAATGCGCCAAAATGATGGAAATTAAAGACAAAGGCGAAACAGAGTATTACCTAATATGGGACCCAGGGTACAATTGGCTAGACAACAGATGCAAAAGTTAGAAAATGGATGACGGAAGAGAATCAACAAATTAGGAACAAGTACAGATATTAAAGCTATATAAAAAGATACGTATTGCAAGCAGTATTGGTACTAGATTGTACATAATTGCAAATCAAAATAGATAGAGTGATAAATCTATAGAGAAGTATGTTATAACTATGGGTACAATAGATATAAGTAGGTTGTATAATAGCAAGCTTTTATTCTTTTTTCTATGTATGAAAAGAGAAAAACAGTCGTAACTAGGATGTATAACAACATGTATATTTTTAAAAGGTGCTGATACAACCAGCATATCGTTGTTGCAAAATTGAAATTGCAATGTAAAAATTAGGAAAATGCGCAATAAAAATATTTTTAAAAAGTACAGGTTTACCATTGTCTTGGCACTAACTTAGCCAACACCCAGACTGGGGCAAATGGTTGGGCCCACAGGGCCATGCTAACGTCACCCCTGGGGAAATGGGTCACCTGGGGCAGGTGTCCCTGGAGGGCCAGCCAGGTTGAACACCCGCGATGGGTTGGGCAGAATGGGGTGTAGTGGACACGGTTATGTGGCCTTCGCCAACTGTTGTTAGACCTGCCAAGGCTACCCAACACATTGGCTAATTCGGAGGAAAGGGAGAGCAGATGCAACCTGGGGTTGACTTGACCCCTGAGCTGGGACTTGGAGAGGATCACGGCGCTAACCTACCTCCATTGTTGTTTTTCCTTGGTCTTTATCTCTTAAGAAAGAATAAATCAGACAGTAGAGATCGTGAAGCATACTGTGGACATCGAAGAGAAAGGGGTCAAGCTGAAGCTGACAATAGTGGACACGCCAGGCTTTGGAGATGCTGTCAACAACTCAGATTGGTGAGTCCTACCTTCTCTTTGTTCGAATTTGTACAAAACTTAGTTAGGGGGGCTGGATTAGAAGACCTCCAAGTTCCCTTCCGGCTCATTTTATTTTGTTCTGTTCTGTTCTCTGCTATTATATTCTATTCATTTTCTCCTATTCTATTTTATTCTACTCTATTCTTTATTGTATTCAATTCATTTTCTCCTATTCTATTCTGCTCTACTCTATTCTTTATTCTATTCTATTCATTTTCTCCTATTCTATTCTATTCTATTCTATTCTATTCTATTCTATTCTATTCTATTCTATTCTATTCTATTCTATTCTATTCTACTGTACTCTATTTTTTATTGTATTCTATTCTATTCTATTGTGTATTGTATTGTATTATATCCTATTCTATTCTATTCTGGCTCAGTTGTGGTCATAAGTCAAGGACTACATGTATTTATTTTATGCTGGGAACTATAATTGCTTTCATTTTCCTTGTTTGTTACTACTGTCCAGTTGGAAGCCGATCACTGACTACATTGATCAGCAGTTTGAACAGTACTTCCGGGATGAGAGTGGCCTCAACCGGAAAAATATCCAAGACAATCGAGTTCACTGTTGCCTCTATTTCATCTCGCCGTTTGGACACGGGTAAGGCCGAGATCCAACAGTTATGGCCATTTTGTTTGGAAGTGAGTGTTGATGCCACCTCTACAGCTGTTATGCTGTAGGACTTGGTAACTTCAATACTTGTGGACTTCAGCTCCCAGAATTCCTCAGTCAGCCATGCTGCCTGAACTGAGGAATTCTGGGAGTTGAAGTCCACAAGTTTCAAAAGTTGCCAAGGTTGGAGACCTCTGCTGTAGGAGAAAACCAGGCTGAGTCTGAGGGCGGGGTCAAATGCACCATCAGCTTGGAGTCTCTACGCCTCCATAAAAGACCTAGGTCCCATCTCCCTTGAAATCCTTTGACTCTTATCTGGCACCAATTTGCCTTGACCGTTAGTCCTTTAGATTGATGTGTGTAGGAAGCATGGAAATCGAGAAGAATATTAGTAGCCCAGGGTTGAAATGAGGAGCCCTTGGTGCCCTCTGAGCTTGGTTCTTTTCTTGCAGACGTTTCATGGCCCAAACTAGGTAACATCATCACTGCTAGAAAGGGAGGAGGTTTGGGAGGAGGAAGGAGGGTGGAGAGGGAAGGAGGAGGACTGTGGGGTCCTTGGTGCTCTCTGAGCTTGGTTGTTTTCTTGTAGATGTTGACGCAACTAGGTAACGTCATCAGTGCTAGTCATTGTTTGGGTAATTAATTGACCCAAAGAAAGAAAGAAAATAACCAAGCTCAGAGAGCACCAAGGACCCCACAATCGTAGTCCTTCTCCTCTTCTCCTTCTTCTCCTCCTTCTCCTCCTATTCCTTTTCTCCTCCTTCTCCTTCTCTCCTCTCCTTTTCTCTTCCTCCTTCTCTTCCTCCTTCTCTTCCTCATCCTCCTCTCCTTTTCTCCTCCTCCTTCTTCTCTCCTCTCCTCTCTTTTTCTCCTTCTCCTTATC